ACTTCTTGAAGCCATTTATGCACATTTTCTTCTATTTTTAGGCAGTTAATAACTCTGCTAACTGAGTTGAATGGCAGCATCTTCTTCCTGATACTGAGGTAGATTCCTACATCCAGGCTCCCCTAACACAAAAGATTAACTTTGGTAATAGTAATAAGAAACCTTATGAGAGGGCATACAGATTGGAAACATGGATTTCCTGTTATTAAAGTGAGCAGATGAATTGCTTTAGTTTTGTTCTCCTCCTTCCCTGTATGAGTGGTGGTATGATATCCATCATAACTAAAACTGAGATTCAGCAAAGTCACAGGGGAAATGCTTTCAGAAGGGCAACTGGCCACTGCGCATATATTACACACAATGGCTCAGTTTGGTGGCCAGGCTAGTGTCCATTAGATAACTGAGACAAGGCCAATATTATGTTTATGATTGTGAAATGATCCAAGCGTTTATTAAGTTGTTAAATCACCCAGTTAACATGCGTTCACGTTTCCCACCTACCGCTTAACATCATGCCCCATCATTAATATTCCAGCTACGCAACTTTCCCTAAATACCCCAGAAGATGGAACAATAAAGAAAATTAATTTGTTACAGAAATAAAAAGTCAAGAACTCGCCTTGAACCTAATAACAATAATAGCTCAGAGAAGAGACAGACACCAGTGAATAACACAATGCCTACAACTAACCAAGCAATTAATGACAGCACTTACACAAACACATGCACGCAAGTGTATATATTTTACTACATCCTTTTCCCTAGCCTTTGGATAGCCCCTGGATATTATTCTTCTCTGTATAATATGTACCATAATGAGACAACAATTTTGACTGGGATTTCTGGTTGCTAATGCATTAAGAATATAAGCCAAGTTATATAAGCTACAGGTCCAAAAGTGTTGTCAGTCACACCTTTGCAACACACACTGAGGTTAACTGAATTCACCAATTGGGTGGGAACACAAAATTTGGCCCTACATATATGAATGAAACAGGTTAATATGCTCTGGTTGGAATGCAATAGTGCTAATAATAACCTACGGTTATAAATCTGAGCCTTTTAATTAGAACATAAGATATCAATAGTTTTACTGTATTGAGCTGGACAAGACCATATGCATAAAATGTGTGACTTTGCCAAGAAAGAGCCTCATGTACCAGGCTGCTGAATGCCTATATTTCTCTGCTTTCACTTACTTCAACAACCTTAGAATAAAAGGAGTCTTTCAAAAACCTAGGAACATTTACCTGCTTAAAGGCAGAATTGTTACCGTGGGTACATTTGAATATAATGGATAGATAAAAGCAAGTTTTCATGACAGTTTGATCCTGGCCATTATTTTTGCATGACTGAAGCTAAGTAAAACTGGAATATTTTGGCATACCCTAAAACTAGAGTTTCCATGCCAGAGAAAAATTAGACGTTTTCAGGAAAAAAAAAATCAGACTCTGATAAAGATTGTATCATGCAAATTGGTCAGCTGAAATACTATGAGAACACCATCTCTTATGTTATTTTTTTTCCTATAAGCCCTATGAACCATTAAAAAAACTGATAGAAAACAAATATAAATAATTTCAAAAACAGATTCAGGATGCTGCACACTTTTATAATAACCAAAAGAGCAGAGAATTCAGGACTATCAGATTGACTGATGTACTCTATTCCAGTGAATATAATATAATATAATATAATATCACAAGAAAGAAATATCACCAAAAGCGAATCACTGGACCAAATACCAACTCTACAGGTCATGCTAGAGTTAGATGTGAAGCCCGCTGTAGAAGAGCTAAGCAAGGCATTATCAAGTGGAAAAAATGGCATCCCAGTGGAAAGTCTCAAGTGTGTGAAAAAAAGCCTACTACCATATCTTCATCAGCTGCTACTCAGATGCTGGAAAGAGGGTGACAGGTACCCCAAGACATGTGTGATGCAAACATCATCACTTTGTTTAAAGACATGGAACGTGGACTGCATCTTCACACAAGATTGGTTGGAAACTCTTTAATCTGTCACAACTCAAGGCAAAGACTAAAGTTAGAAAGGTGCTGATCAGGGAGCTTCTAGTCACTGATGATGATGCCTTCATAGCCCACAACAAAAACCTGCTACAAGAACTCATGGATCGCCTTTCAAGAGTTTGTCAGGCATTTGCTCTCACTATCAGCATAAAGAAAACAGGGAGTTCCACAAGAACCATCAATCACCCTTAACAAGAATCAGCTAGATGTAGTTCAAAAGTTCAGCTACCTAGGTTCTACAGTGACCACGAACCTCTCATTGGATGAAGAACTTAATGTTCACATCGGAAAGGCTGCCACCACTTTCAGCAGACTAACTAAAAGAGCATGGAACAACTCAAAGCTTACCATCAAGACCAAAATGCTAGTGTACAAAACTTACATACTCAGCACTCTCATGTATGGTGTGGAAACACGGACAACTCCTGCACATCAAGAGAAAAGGTTAAACAGCTCCTACCAGCACTGTTTATGCCACATACTCAACATCAAATGGTAAGATAAAGTTACCAACGAAGAGGTTCTTCAAAGGGCAAATTTACCAAGTGTGACAACCCTACTCAGATAGAGAAGACTGCACCGGCTAGGCCATCTGAGTAGATTGGAAGATGGACGTATACCCAAGGACAAGGTATACGGGGAATTATTGGCGGGAACAAGAACAACCAGATGCCCCAAATTTTGCTATAAAGACGCAGCATGCAAGCAAGATATGAAGGCATTTAGAATTGATCCTGGCTAACAGGAAACCTTGGCAAGTGATCAGAACAAGTGGTGTCATCATCTCCACCAGGGCAATCAAATCTATGACAGGAATTGGCTACAACAGCTTGAAGAGAAAAGAGTCCGCAGGAAGCAAGCAGCTCCTGAACCACCCAGCCGTTACGCATACATTTGCAAGCGCTGCCACAGATCGTGCAAATTTCAGATTGAACTATTCAGTTACATGAGATATTGCAAGTCATCTACAATCTGCAATTTCTAGTGTCTCTCACAGATGAAAGGATGCCATAAAAAAAAAAAGAATAATCAGCTGCAATCAAGAAAACTTGGACTTGATAGGCACATGAAATTAAGGAGATTTAAAATGCTTTGGTTTAAAGTGAATGAGTATTTGAAATGTTTAAGCCTGCACCTAAATAATGTTACTGATAAAATTTAAAGTATTGATGTTCAAACAGCACCTTCACAGGTCATTATTACGATGAATTCTATGTTCTTGCCGATGAAAATTCAAAGTAACTAATATCTGTCATAACATTTACCATCAAGCCAATTTTTTGCCAGTCTATAAAACTGCGCAATTCAAGTTGTCAAAGAGGGTCAAAGAGGGGAAAACTTGAATTGCGCAGTTTTACAGACTAGCAAAAAATTGGGAAAGGAGGGATCTCCACAGCACTTTTCAAATGTAGGGCTTTTATATGAAAAAAAATTCTGGAGTCAAATTTTCTACTGGTGAAAACTGGCTTTGTTTCATAGATCTCTTATCAATCCACACCAATTTACATCAGCTGAGAACCACTTGCTATCTTTTTCAGCTGCAAAAATTCATATTGTAAAGAGATACCATACCTTGCTTCACAGAAAATCATCCATAGACAAACTATAACATCAGCAAAGATGGACTGCTACTCTTTCAAAACCTCACTGTGCTCAACTCACAGCTAAAACTACAAAACACAGGCAATTTTCCGTTCAAAAATAGAGCTAATGGCGTGAAAAAAACTCTGTTGATAAAGCAGTAAGGATGAATGTTAAAATAACAGGAACAAAATAAGGATATTCTGAAGCTAGTAGCTACTCCATTCTGTTATGTGCAGAACCTCACCCAAGACAAGGTTACTAAATGGTATTGCAGAGAGCTGCCCTGCTCAAGAAAGGTGCTTAGCACCTCACTGAAGAACCATGACTGAGAGAATATCACAGATCAATCTGGATCAAGCTTTGATCATTTCTTAGCAACGGCCAAAACGCATGGAACAATGAATTTGCTAAATTGAGATGCCATCATGGCTGATGGAACCGTGGCACAAGAGGAAAAGGAGAGGACAGATTCTGCCCAGCCTGACTCAAAGGTCAAATGACTCAAATGGTCACAAACTACTTCAAGATCGTTTCAGGCTGGACATAAGGAAGAATTTCTTTACTGTCCGAGCCCCCAAGGTCTGGAACAGCCTGCCACCGGAGGTGGTTCAAGCGCCTTCATTGAACACCTTCAAGATGAAACTGGATGCTTATCTTGCTGGGATCCTATGACCCCAGCTGACTTCCTGCCCTTTGGGCGGGGGGCTGGACTCAATGATCTTCCGAGGTCCCTTCCAGCCCTGATGTCTATGAAATCTATGAAATCTATGAAAGGTGGTCTGAGATCAGACTGGGGCAAGGCTTCTGTTTTCAAGGTTCTGTAACTCAAATGGTTTCAGGATAAACAGATAATGGGTAAATAATTTCCTTGCTAAGTCTGTGCTATATTCTTTCCAAGGTCTAAGCCTTGAGATGTGCAACACTAGAAATAATGACCAGATGCTACCTGGCCTCAGAAAGCTTTGAAATACATGCTACCTAGTGATTAGTTTGCAACAGACCAGTATCCATACTCTGTTAGACAAGATGGTGACATTTAATACTGTATGATCCGTTTTTTCTTGTTTAATGAGTAGCTTCATGTACCTAAAACAGGATGTATACTCTAGACGCTACAGTGCAAAGTTATGTTCATGGTATATTAATAGAAAGTAGAATCATGGTCTAATGAAATATTATTGTTGGAACCTTAATCTCTGCACCCCTGATTCCATTTGATTTCAAAGGTGTAAACTTTTCAGTTTGGGTGAACGCAACTTTGTGTAACTTACCTTGCTAATGCTGGCAACAAGGAGTCTGGCTTCACCTTTGAAGGAGGGCATGCTAGTCTCAGTGCTCACCAGTTTCTCATGCTTCATATAAAAGTATGAAGCCACCAAATATACTCACATGTTTTTCAGAGAACTCATCCACCTCTTGCAGCAGCTTCTCCTGGCACTCTGGGTTGGTGGCTAATAGGTAGGTGGCAAAGGAGAGTGCACTGGTGGTGGTCTCATACCCAGCAATCAGGAAAAGGAAGGCTTGGCCTACTATCTCATCTTCAGTTAATGTCACCTGAAGCTTTGTAGGCAGAGCCTTATCACCACAAGGATCAGGGTCCTGAACTGAAGTATCGGCTTTGTTGACTAAGTCAAAATGTTCCAGTGCAACAGAGCTAGCTGAACTGCGGGCATCAAGCATCAACTGGAGGAAGTCTCTGCGTCTCTGTGAAACAGAAGATGAGGAAACACATTATGAATGACTAGAAGTAAAAGCTTTTCCACTTAGGGAGAGAACCATCCTGTGTTTATCCTGCCCACCCAGTTCTGCCGGCATGACCATCAAGCTTTCAAATGAAGAGACTTCTTGGCATTGCTCCTATTAAACTGCATAGAGCAGCTACTGCTGGTACTTCTCATCTCCCCTCCAGAAGACTGACTCTGCTGCTGACAAAACACTATCAGGCAAGTATTTTCAATACTAACTAGCAGTTATGTTGAATACAAAACAGGAGGGTGGGCGCTTCGTCCCTTCTAATGACAGCCATACCAGCATGAGCCAAACTGGCCCCTGAGTTAGCATGATGGAACCAGCACTCTGCCATTCCCCGCCTGCCTGCTCCACTTGGAGGAGTTCTAGTTTGCTGTACCCCATCATTTAAGGCGCATTACGCCGCTGAATTTGCTACAGCAGCTGGAATTAATGTGCAATACGCCACCAAGGCGTGCAAACGTCTTCACCATTAAAGTGGTGCAAAAGCGTTTAGGCCACTTTAAAGTGATGTGCACACACGCCTCTCATTTCGTCTACACATGGCTCAAGAAGCTTGAATGAACGTTTAAAGGGGAGTTCTTAGTCCTAGTGTGTGTATATAGATTAAGTCACGGTCTAAGGCTTAGGGTGAATCTACAGAGTTTTTGTAGTGATTTAACCATACTGGTTTAGAAACTGATATTGTTAAAATTGGTTTAAATTCCTTTTGCATGGCCACATTTACATTGGTATAAAAGCTTGCTTTATTTTGTCAAATTTACTAATAGGTACCTTCACGCTATATAGTTAAATTGTACAAAACCTGCAGCTATGACTTCATGCAAAATGCCAATTGAACCATCCTTTCTTTATCAAAGGTATTTGTCCTAGTTTGTGAAATTAAAATTCCACATGAAACAGACCTATGGATAAGAGTAAGCTGACTCCAAACCAGTCTGGCAGCAAGCTTGGCAGGGCTTTTAAACCTAACCCAAAAAGCCTGGAGTGATGTTTGAGCCCAAGAAACTATTGTGTTGAACTTAAGCCATAAGGCCATGAGATTGATTTTCAGTTCCTTAAATACCAATATAATGCATCATAGCTAAGAAGTTCTCCAGCTAAGAATGACTGCAGAACCAGACCATGACACATTAGGGTTTGAAAAGAAAAAGCTGGGAATGAATATTTTCAGGAGAACTAGGGCTGCATCTTTTTTTAATGGAAAATCTTTTGAATTATTTTCTTAGATTAGATGATACAGATAAAAGAAGAAAAGGGAAAGCCAGAGAAACAACAGGCAAATGAGATAAGGGTAAGGAAGGAGTCGTTAGTTATACATGTCAAAGGGCTTAATCGGATAACATTTCCACATGACATGGGAATGGGGAGTGACAAGACACAAAATAAGATACACAGTGTCAGGAACTCTGGTTTTACTGTGAACAAACCATTTTGAGCCAACTACAAACAGAGAGAAAAGGGAGTATTTGAACCGGACGAGGGATTACTTACAATGGTGCCTCTGGTTTCTACTCGGAGTCTGGGTGTGTGAAACAGGGCGTACTCAATTTGGATTCAGATTTGGCCTGAATCAGGGACAGTGATTCGATTTGTTGATTCGGATCACTGTCCCAATTCAATTCAGCCGAATTCCAATCTAAAGATTCAATGCTGATTCAGAGAATCACTGATTCAGCCACAGACACAGTTTTAAATGTTTTTTCTGCATACCTCGAGGTACAAGGTGCGGCTTGTGAATGCTGTAATGGTGGGGCAGATGAAGCTTCCCACAGGAGTTTGGGGGGAGGGGACCCCCCATGTGCTCGGCGGCAAACCTGGAAGCAGACCGGAACTACTTCTGGTCCACTTCTGGGTCCATTGCTGAGCATGTTGGGCGCCTCCCCCCGCCATGCCTCCCCCCTGGTTCAGTGATCAACCACAGGGGGACCCTGGGTGCCCCTCCAGACCCAGCAGGCACTAGTCGCCGAACTGGGAGGGGGCACGGGGGGGGCCCCCCGCGTGCTCCCCGGTGGACCCAGAAGTGGACTGGAAGTGCTTCTGGTCCACTTCCAGTTCTGCTGCCGAGCGTGCTGGGGAACGCCCTGCACTTCTGTGGGACACTCCATGCACCCCAGCATCGCAGCATTCACAAGCCCCTGCTACCTACAGGTATGTAGAAAAAATATTTAAAGCTGTGTCTATGTCCGAATTGTTGAATCTTTCTGAATTTCTCTGAATTGATTTGGAGGGTTCTGATTCGATTCAGAGAGATTAAAGGGCCTCCTGATTCGAATCAGGCCAAATCTATGCTGAATCAAATCAGTGACCGAAGCTTCACACAACCCTATTGGGAGTCTCCCATCACCAAATCTGGACTTAATTGTCTGTTACTCTGGGGCACCTGAAATTAAGAGGATCAGGGGAGTGTCATGTACAAATAATTGTACATTAAAGGACTGCATGAACTGCCCCAGTTGATGCATATTACTCCATGGCTCAAATGCATGGATTTTCCAGGGTAATAAAATACGCAAAGCTGCATTACTGCACATTATCCTCACAGAAGAGTCTTCTATCCCTTACAATACTGTGCATTACCTAGCTTTAGGGAAGTTTTCTGCAATCAAAATGGAAGTTCTTCTAGGTAGTTTCATAGTTTCTAGGGTCACAAGGGACCTGAACAGATCTCCAAGTCCGACTCCCTGCCCTGGGCAGGAATGAGTGCTGGGATCATAATACCCCAGCCAGATATCTATCCAACCTCCTCTTGAAGGCCCCCAAGGTAGGGGAGAGCACCACCTCCCTTGGGAGCCCATTCCAGAGCCTGGCAGCCCTAACCGTAAAGTAATGCCTCCTGATATCAAGCCTGAACCTGCTCTCAATCAATCTGTGGACGTTACTCCTTGTTATCCCAGGTGGCGCCCAGGGGAACAGAGCCTCACCTATTTTCCGCTGGTGAGTTTACAGACAGCCACCAGATCCCCTCTCAGTCTTCTCTTGTGGAGGCTGAATAGATTCAGGCCCTTTAGTCTTTGTAGGGCCCGGCCTGCTGCCCCCTGACCATGCAAGTGGCCCTCCTCTGGACCCTCTCAAGGTTAGCCACATCCCTCTTGAAGTACAGCACCCAGAACTGGATGCAGTGCTCCAACTGCAGCCTGACCAGCACCGCATAGAGGGGAAGGATCACCTCCGTGGACCTGCTTGTGATGCATCTGTAGATGCACGACAAGGTGCGGTTAGCCTTACTGACCGCTTCCTCACATTGGCAGCTCATCAATGACTCCAAGATCCCTTTCAGCCAAAGTGTTGTTGAGAAGGGTGTTCCCCATCTTATAGGTGTGTTGCAGGTTCCTTCTCCCTAGACACAACACCTTGTGCTTGTCTGCGTTGAATTCCATTCTATTCTCACCTGCCCACCTCTGTAACCTGTCTACATCTAGTTGGATTTTGTCCCTCCCTTCCAGTGTGCCCACTTCTCTCCACATCTTTGTGTCACCAGCGAATTTGGACAGCGTGCTTTCCACACCCAGCTCCAAGTCACTGATAAAGATGTTGAATAGCACAGGCCCAAGGACCAAGCCCTGGGGAACTCCACTGCCCACAACCCCTTCAGGTCGAAAACAACCCATCTGCCACCACCCTCTGGGTGTGACCATCGACCCAATTTGCCACCCATCTGACTGTGTAGGCATCAATGCCGCAGTCGCCTAGTTTTTTTATGAGAGCAGTGTGAGAAACAGTGTCAAAGGCCTTCTTGAAATCCAGGTAGACGACATCCACCTTAACGCCCACATCCAAGGACTTTGTGACCTAGTCGTAAAAGGAAACAAGGTTAAGTCATGTAGGATCTGTCCACAATAAACCCATGTTGGTTGCCCCTGAGCATTACCTCCCATGCTGGGCCCCCGCTGATGTGTTCCTTGATAATTTTCTCAAAGGTCTTCCCAAGGACCAAGCTGAGACTAACCGGCCTATAGTTACCCGGGTCCTCCTTTCTCCCCTTCTTGTAAATGTGGACCACATTGGCCCTTTTCCAGTCCTCTGGGACCTGGTCTGAGCACCACGAGCACTCATACAGCCATATACCAGCAGGTACACCAGCAGATGATTCCATTTCCAATAAAAATGGAAGTTCTGCTTGGTGTACGCTCCTCATACACAAAGCAATTCAAAGTTGTGACTGCACTGTTACCGTTACTATGCTCAGGGGTGATATGACACCTTCTTTCACTGCTGTCCCTTTGAAGTGGAACAAAACTGCATGAACTCTAACTCCCTTTGTGTGGCTAAAGATTGCATTTAACAACATGCCCAGGAAGGATTTCATTCACATGCAGATTTAAGATTCCTAGAGTAAATGTATATATTGTGCAATAAAAAGTGTTCAGCTCTTAGGCCTTCTCTATGCCTGAAAGTTTTTCTGGTGTAACTTTTTTGATTAGGGATATGATATATTTCTCCATTCAGTTCTATTGATAAAAGCCCTTGCATGAATGCAGTTTTAACAGCATACAGTTCATTTACACTGATATAATTATTCCTTTCCTCTAAGGCAGTGGTTTTTAACCTTTTTTAGTCCCAAGGCATTCCACAGAAAATGCCAGCTCTTAGTTTTCACTCATTTCTTGACTACAGAAAAATAATAGAGGAACTCTCCTGTTGCAAAGAATGCAGAAAGACTCAGAAACTCTACATTTATCTTGTGCACACCTAATGGTGCAGCATTGTGTGACATCCTGTGGCACCCTTGAAAGGATTCCAAGGCACCCCAGGATGCCGCAGCACCCAAGTTGACAATCACTCCTCTAAAGGGATATATATACGAGTACAGGTTATCAGTATACCATTATATCAATATAACTACACTTACATTAGGGTGGGGGATTGTACTGCTGTAACTATACTAGTTAAAGTGGTATAACCCTTTAAGTGCACACAAGCCCTAAGGCTGCCTATACATGTGCTCGTTCGCA